TGAGTTGAAGAACAGATCCTGTAAAAATTGTGTCTGTAGTGTAAAAAATGTGGCTGAACTGGCGATCTAGAAATGGGGTACCATGTTCTGTGGAAGATGTTTTTGAAGCAAAATTTAACATTGGTCTCTATGGAGCAGAAAGTTGGTTTTCCTCTCAATTACAGGCTTCTGTGCCAAATGTGTAAATCTGTGGGATTCCACAGTCATTTGTCTACGACAAGGACAAGATTAGCTACTTTTACATCCAGAAATTATGCATGAAGAGTGAAGATTGTGGACACAGTGGCAAAACATAAATCTTTTTTTCACAAGAATCTCAAGCTGCTCTTCACTCTAGCGGTGACATCACGCACTCTAAGCTGCGCAATACACACCCATTATAAAGTCAGAAAAGGACTGAAAAAATCATAAAAGTTAAATTGCTGCAGTTCAAAAAGTGTAAAAGATATCAAAAAGCTGAATCATGTGGCAATAGCTCAGGGGTTTCTCAACATTTTAAAGTTTAAATGGTGTCTGTAGCTGAAAGTATGAGGAAGTAGAAGGATTTGAAAGATGAAGAGGATTTGAACATTTTCTCCATTGAAACCCATTCAAAGAAAAATGTGCAAAAAGCTTAATAATTCAAAAAGTTTAAAGATTATAATTATGAAAAGTCATAGCACCCCTCTCCCGAAAGAGCTGAACATTTTGATATTTGAACGGTTTCTGTAGCTTAAAATATGAAGGAGCAGAAGAGTTTGAAATAACGTACGGAAGAAATATAAAAATAAAAATAAAATAAAGAAGAATAAAGAAACAGGATAACAATAGTTGGCATTCCAACAAATATGCTCTTGGTTGCGCTATGTGATGTGTAGAATCCTGTGGTTTGTTTTAGATGTTTGTTTTTTATTTGCTCATTTATCTCCGCCCCCCTCTCCACGTTGGGATATTTCCGACAACACGTGAAGGCGGCAGTGTGTCGTGCCTCTTTTCGGCAGTAGATGGCGCTTACCCCCCCCC